ATGCGTGTTTTTTTTCTGTCTATCCTCAACATTTAGGGTATTACAAATGCTCTGATTTCCAACATCAGCATCTTTTCTGATAGAAAAGTGAATCTAGTTGGTGCATTCGGGAGATAAAAATTGAAAATTCCCATTAATTAAAAAAAAAAAAAATGAATTAGTAGGTACGCAAACCCAATTTTTGACAAAATAGATTTTATTTTTTTGCTATAACTCAAAAATCATCGTAAACACTTAAAACGTTTACCGAATATTCACATTACCATTTTCCTGATGTATCAACATTTTTTTAGAGCTAAGCTACACGCTATAAGTAGCCATGGCCCATGAGACATTTTTTTTAAAAACTTGTCGATAAAATCTTTTTCATTTGATAAAAAACTTGAAAATATAATGCAAGGTTCATTGTAAGTTGTTTTAATACCAATAAAACAATATGAAAGAAAAGCATAATTTTTTAAATCCATTTTAACAAAACTTTCAAAATCCCGAAAATGTGCAAATTATTTTTCAATTAGAAATTCAAAACAATTTTTCTTATCATACATAGATAATATTACAAATATCAATAGGAGATTCAACACAAGTTTTTCTACCTTTAACAAAAAAAGAGTTTATCGGACACTAATGTTTTTTATAGCTATGAGATAATTTTTGGAATTTTTGGAATTTTTGGAATTATTAAATTTGATTATTTTTACAAGTATGCTAGGATGACACGACGTCTAAATGGTTTTTCGTTATGATTTATCTTTGAATTCGAATATAAAATATTCAAACATTAATGGCCATCTTTTTTTATAATTTAAATGCGAATAAATATAACTAATTTATATTATGATTAAAGATTTAATGGTAAAAATCCATAAATATTCCTTATATAAAGATAGGTACTCGTATTTTTGTATCTTATAACGTGGTTAACATTTTTTACTGATGCGTGTAAATCAGTATTTTTTTCCGGAGTCATTATACGATATAAGTAAATTACAATCATAAATATTATTAAAAATTAAAATGTACAAACACTACAAACATATAGGTATAGAAGGAGTCACCAGATAGAGGCTACTCGATTACGACAGTATGATTATAAAATATCATTGTTTGAATGTTTTCTTATTTGTGGTACTCATATATTAAATGCCTATTAGTTTTTACAATTATTATTCATTAGCTAAATTCTCTGTTTATTGTTTATTTATCTAAATCCATTGACCGGTGTAGTTTACCAAAGACACATTAAGGACAACGTTAGAACTTATGGGCGCCGCTGCAGACTTATACAAATAAGCAGTGTATTTACACTTGGCAGAAAAAATAACAAATTAATAAATTGACGATAGTCTTCGTTTATCGCTTATTTCTGTATCCAAATAGAATTTCGATCATGCATTTTCACGATTTTTTGAAATTCAATCATAATATTATTAAACTGTAGGTACTATATGTTATCATGATGAGTGATATGGTTATTAATAAAATATTTATGATGTTATTTTGTAGTAGGTATTCAAATAGTCACAAATTTTAATAAATGTTCGATATTATTCCTACTTCTCACGATGTTTTTGTTTTAGATTTTTATAAGTTTAGCCAGGGAATGTAAGTTTTATATTGATAAATATGTATTTTTCTTTTTTCCTAGTATATTTCTCTAAGTACAAGGAAAACTTCCAACAGCCAGATGTTAATGAAATCTGAGCAACAAATCTGAGTGCAATTTATATTAAATTCATCCATTTTTTATGTGAAACACTGAAACATCTAATGCGGCGGGTGAGACAACGCTAGCAACACTCGCGAAACATCTAATTCGCATTTAAAATAAAGAATAATTTTTATTAAAAATATCTGAATATTTTATTCTAGAGCATCCAAACAAAATAATTTCGATGTTTCACATCTTCCAGGCATCCCACGATGACTTAATTTTTTTGTTTCTAATAATTTCTTTAAAATGTATAAATGTATGCCTAATAGAATTATGTCAATATATCGCACTGGGGTAAATACAATGAGACGAATGATCAATATAACTGGTACCTTCTGCATTCTGTTCGGCTTTTAAATATTATAATATGCGATGGAAAATATTTTAAAATTTAATTTGCATGCAGCCAGGAGAGTCATACACCAATAAGATCGATTTATATTACCTTACATAAAATCATACATTTTCTTACATTTAATTATTGCACATATATATGCATACAATAATGAACACTTTTTTGAATATTTGAGTATGTACCTACTTGTTTTGCCCAAAATATCTATTGTTGATTTATGATGATTATTACAAGTTATTGGAAGTAAATACTTAAAATTATATTATTACTTAGACTTAGAGACCTTTGTATTCAGACTGAGTAATCGATTGATATATTATCAATCAATTTTTAAATATTTGTCTGACTTTTAGTTTAGAATAAATTTACCCATATTGTGTAATTTGTCATTCGCCGATTAAAATATTTGGGAGTGAAATAATAATTAGATATTATGCTTTTAATTTCATCTCAACTTATCTACTATATTATGGTATTATTATACATATTATGTTGTCTTTAATTTAAAGTTACCTAATTATTTATAGTACTTACCACTCACAGTGAAAAATTAAAATCGGTTTGATGTCCAAACTGTTGTTGTTTGAGCAAAGTAAAAATTCTAATGAATTTCGATCTTTATAATTGTTGAGTAGTATTCAAGGTTTGAGTTATCCATTTTTCTGTTTTGTCTTATGATAATGGTTAGCAAAAATAGTCGTTTTCCCGGTATACTTGTATGCATACTTCTCTCTAATAAGTTATAATTACTATAATTTGCTAAATGACATTACTATGTTTCAAAGAGATGTGCGTTTACAGTGGTCATTGTGTGTAACTTGCTTTGTCATTTTCTATAATATTGCGATGACCACAACAGAAAGATAGTTCCGAGGTTACATGCCGGAATAATAATAATAGTAATAATAATAGCAATAATATAGTACCTATACGGCTTAACTGTATATTGTAAATTATAATATAGTGTAGTGGCATTCGAATCGAATTTCCTGGGGCACTTCGAATTAGCCTTAAAATTTATTCCGACAATGAGATTATACATTTTTGTTTTGTTATTTTAAACTAAACATTATATTGCTTTCGCTCTGAACGTATAAAATGTACAAAAGAAATTAAACTCTATTACTTGTTGCATAATTATTATTCACGACGGTTTAAAACAATCAAAGTTTTCGTCTTTTCTGCTTCCGAGTATTGGTCGTTATGTTATATTAATATATTATTCGCACGCGTAGATAAATTGATTATTTATAAGTCATTTAAAAAAACATAGTCGTTACTAATTAAAATTAAATTTCAGATCTATAGTTTTCCACTGCAAGAAAACAAAATCAGCCATACTTCAGTTGCATCCAATAAATCTAAGGCGTGAATTCTGTAGTAATAAATTGCGCCTGATGTTTTTCTAATGCTGTTTTATTTTATTATTATTAAAAGCCCATGAAAAAAGGAATGAACTTTAATAAAAATAATATGTTTGTTTGTATATAGGTAGTTAAGTGTTATATTTTAACATATTTTATCTTTATAATATAGTTTAAAGTAAATAAATGTAAAATAAGAATCAAAATTTAAGTTTTTCTTATATTTATGTGATATTATTGTGAACTTTTTCTTTGAGAATCCATAATATGCCTAAGTGTAATAATATATAATATTACATTGGTAAAATTTGACTCGATGGTACCATTTGTGTGGCATTGTAGGCTGTACCAGTTGAGGGTTATGATTCAATACTATTATAAATCAAAACATTTTACTGATTTCAAAACTATTAATATCATATTATATCTTGTTGTGATTTCGAGTGGGAATTATATGGTCTTCCATTGTTTTTGTTTACTTTTGAGGGGTTGACGTATTTCACATTAGGGTATTAGGCGTCAATCAAACATGCTCATCCTTAAAAAATTGGAAAAAATATCAGCATGACACACACACGATGATAAAATGTATTGTTCACCGGTTCACTATGAAAAATAAATCACCCTGTATGTGGCGTGCAAGTGTCGTTGGCGGAGATGGATTCACGATACGCCGGAATGTACGAAATAGACCTTATACATATTATACTGTACAGCCGACAGTCCCGTCGACAGCTGAAAAGGTGACGTGTGTAATAGACAAATCCGCTAGGAGAAAAAATTACACCAAACCAAAACAGAACAAAATTGTGTCTTACAAAACGTCCATGTAAACGTTGACACGGTTGACGGTGGTGGTGGTCACCAGAGAGACAATCCTTTCACCCCTCGCCGCCAGAGACGATCCAACATATGCCTCGGAGGAACTGTTAAGTATAAAATGTACAGAGTAATTTTTTAAGGGTAGACAAGCATTTTTTCGAAAAGTATTTAAGAGAGAAGGGCAGGAGTAGTGAAACCCCTATAGCACCACTCCACTCCGTTCATATAACACTTCAAATACCTTTTTTTTTTGTAGATAATAGGAAAAATGCTACACTGTATTTTGTATTTTTGTATATGATAAGCAAATATGTTGTACAAAATAACAATACGTGATAGAAAAGAGAGTTCAGTGACACTATTTCAAGAAACTTTAAAATTTAAATAGCTAGGTACTATTATCAAATACTAAGTACTGCAGTTTGACAGTTAACTACGTATGTAGGTATTGCTTGATTAAAATTCTATTTTTATATTTCGAGATATTCCGAAAAACATTTTGATGCGGAATATGGAATTAAAAATGTACAATGTCATGTAAAAAGTAAAAACTTTAAGAATGATCACGATAAAAATTAGTGAAATATATAATTTTATTTTCGAAAACGTATATAGTTTTTGAAATAATTGTTGTTATTTCATAATTGAATCACAATTTAGTTTTGAGCATGGTCTGAATTAGGTGCGGTAGACGTGTGGTTTCGTCAGTTTTTACTTTGTTTTAAGTCATATAAAATATTAAAAATAATAATAACACATATATATATTTATGACGTGATGTGTTTATAAACTAAGGAATATAAACATGGATGTCAGAGACTTATGGACCGAGTGGATTCGTGTACGTCGTTGCTATTGGTATGGATGTTGAGTGCGATGGAAAACACAAAAATGGTTTTGTGAGTTCGAATTATTAAAATAATTTAATGGATACATTATTGTTAATTTTTTTTAGTTGTTTAATCCCGTTGTGTAATTAATAAATAAATATTGAGTATTTTAGAGCTGCAACACTTGTACTTTGATACAATCATGAGGAGGCTGTACCTTATTGAATACTATTTTCCCATATTTGTCCACGTAATCCGAATAAGATAATGAATATATACATTGGAATCCAGATCTTTCCATAGCTTTAGCTGTAAAATAACTGGAGCATTCGGCGTACATCATTTTATACCCCAACATTAAAGCCAACTCTCTAGAAATTAAATAATCACTGGATTAATGTAGGTTATGATAAATTTTTTCAGTTTGTTGAGGGTTTTTATTTGACAATTCATAGTTAATGACTTAATGCGTGTTTTATAAAAGTAATCATGATGTCAAATGTGGGGAACTGGGTATCTAGAGGAATCGTTTTGTCCATCTTAAAAATTAGACAATGATTAATTGTTTTATGAGTTTAAAGAGTTAAAAAGCAGTAATAAGAAATTTTGATTATTATAAGTAAGACCTTGTGCTTTACATACAATTTTTGGATCAACTTATGCTAATATTTTGAGAATGGGATGTGAAATTCATTAATTTATATCAAATAGAACCTGATATGAATCAAACTCATATTCTTAATAAATTTTTGGTCATTTAAAAGAAATTCTATCTTAAATTTTTTTTAAGAACTTGAAAATGAACGTATTTCTTCAAAGAAAAAGTAAACTTGAACGACTTTATTTTTTATGCATTGAACGTAAACGTGAAACTTCCTAATACTTCTATAAACGGGCTTTATACGTATTTCACGAAATACGTTCTATGAATATCTAAAAATTGTTATGTTTTTTAAATAAATAAATATAACATATTTAGTATACTTTGATTTGTTGATGAGAGCTTTGCAAACGCCTTGTCCTCTGTACTCTTCATTGACTGAAATAAGCTTTAATTCCATTATCCGATCTACGTTTGGATATTGCCCATATAGATCAACATCTTGTCGAATTTTATACAAAAGAACCTCGATGTCATCAAAACTTGAATTTGAAACAAAGTTTTCATCACCGTACTGATCTAATTGATGATCTTTGCACATTATGTTATTAAGTATGACACCCATAACTTCACCATTTTCAGATACTGCCATAAATGATAATCCTAAACAGAAAAAATATTTTAGTTTCAAATTGGGTTCTTAAAATTGTTTCATTTTAAAACACTTTGACTTATACTAGTTGCATGTTTTAGTTTTTGAGCGGAGTGAAAAATATGTAATAGTTTTTTTAACGCCACCTTTAGGATCAATAAAAAAATTTTCAATCTTGTAGCTATTCGAGTGTGGTTCTTATTTGAAAATTGGATATAGTTGAGAGGACAAGCGTAAAAAGTTCCCTATACTTTTAAAATAATAGGTAGAATATAAAAAATGTCAAATGTCGATAAAATTATTAGAACAAAGTTTAATACAAAATGTTGTTAAAAATTATAATCTTGTTATTCAAAAAATATTATTAGTGAAAATCTAAAACATCCAACATATATCTAAAACACTATTGCTTAAATTGTAATTTTCCATAAACAATCTAAGTTTTAAAATAAAAATAATAATTTTAAGTTCATTAAAATTTAACCAAACAAATTTTAGTAGACTTATATACTGTGATTTTTTTATTTTATTATAATAATTAAGTATGTAGTTAGAATTTTCTATAAATGTTATTTATATTATATTTCAATGTACTGAATTATTAAACTTATGTAATTGGGTTCTCACCAGTAATAAATAAGTAATAATACCTAGTAATAATAATAATAAATACAACCATGTAATATTTTTTTGAGAATAAATTGAATTACTTTTCACAAAACTTGACAGAATCATGAACATTTAAATAGTTATGTGGTTAAAAATGCATTAGATTTTAAATTTTAATTGCTAAAATTTGAAAATTAAATACAAGGTTACTTATAAGTTGGTACCTATTACAATTTACAGCAATTAAGCAGATACACTGTTTCCGCTCAGAGTAGTTTTTTTTTGTGCAATGATGTATTAAAGTCTAGGCCAAAATAGTGAAAGTAATTATGTATTATTACTACTCATAATTATTATTAATTTGAATATCTTAGTTGTTTTTAAAATATAGATATTTTAATAATTATACTATAGATATAATTAGGTAATACGTGTATATAATAAATTGAGATCAAAGTTATAGGCTATACTTTTAAGAAAATGTATATTATAATTTAAGTCATAATAATTTTAATTCTATCTACACAATCTTTATAATTTTTTTGTGAATACCCACCAGAAAAATATTGTTAACGTCGTGTTTTCTCCAAAATATGTTGTATACCGTACTGCTTTTGGTATGTGTTTATCAGTTTATCACACAATATTATTATTATTTTTTAGAAACGTAAATATTTTAATGCTCAAAATGAACTATTTCCTATTTGTGTACCTAAATTTATTATTATCACCAATTTCTGTTTCTCTTTTCATTTATTTGCTGTAAATTATATTTACTCTAGATTTATTAGTTCAATATTGTAATTTGTAACTTTGTTATTTTTGACTGATACCATTAAACTGACCTACTCAATAACGAGGTACACTCGAAACTTCTTATGCTGCTTAGTGATTTCCCTAGTTCTAATTTTTACATTTATTCATTTAAAAAGTTATATGTTTTAGGATATATTTAAACAATGTCATACAGGTAACGATATTATTGGTATCTAATTTTAGAATAGGTACATTATTGAAATTGTAATGGAAAATACTGTCACATTAGCGAATAAATCACATAAATTGTTGTAACAACAGTTCAAACATATTAAATAGGAAAGAGTTTTTTCATAAGAACTTAAAGTTCACATTTTGACAAAATTCATCAAAATCACAAAGACTTGTAAATTGTTTTATAGTTAGTTTATTTTAATTTTGTATGGAAGAAGATTGAAAATTGAAAACAAGGTTTATCATTGGTATTTCATAAACTAATCAAAAAATCTAAAAATTAAGTAAACTTGGTTTTTTTAATAGACATTTTAAGTTAAAATGTGGACGAAATTAGATATTTAAGTGGAGTATAACAATTTTAGTTATTTTCTTATAATTTAAAAAAATGAAATATCACAAAACAGGTTATGAGCCTTCGTTCATACTCGATTTTTATATGCAATGATTTTATATCATTTAATTCAAATTTAAAACATTCATTACCCGCTCAACACGTATTGTAAAGAAGAGTGTTACTCACTTTAAAAAAAATTTTATTTTGTCGTAAATAATTACTATTTTTTATACTAGACTATTAGAGTAATATTTTTGACACTAATAATAATATGTACTACCTACCGTATGCATTAAATTTATCAACTCACCATTATTAAAATAATTGCTGCAAAAATCTTTATATTTTATTATTGATTCTTTTTCTTTGAATAATTCCACACTTGCATTCAAAGGTTCATCTCGTATAAAATATTTTTCTATGGAATTCATCACATTCTGATTATCGTTATTAGTGATAGGCACTATGGTAAATGGCATTTTTGTTTTATTATTTTCATCCATATTCATCACAATATCTGTAAAAGATATATACTGTTATGTTTATACTTTAGACACGATACTTTTTAAATAATTACTTAACCCGTACAATTTTACATTTTGGGTGCATCAATGAATGGACAAAATGGTTTACAATGATGTATTTTCGTTTAAGACTCTGAACGGATCGACGAATATCGAGTTTTTACAATTTTTTTAATTTCTTATATTTATATTTTTGCTGGTATATATGTAGGTTGTAAAATCATTAGAGTCTGCAGTGGCTGATTAATCAAATAGATAATCTGAAGGAGTTGGGAGTTAATTCTTTGAGAGGTCGTTATACCCGCATGTGTTGTCTCCGTCTTACAAGAGCGTAACATACCAAATTGTACGTTCAGCAGATCATTCTTAGCTATGTTAGCTTAAAAAGTAGAGTGAATTGACCCATTATTATAATTAAAGGTAAAATTATTACGGAGGGCTTCTTATGGGCTTTTTATTATATTTTAATTTTAAAGAGAGTTATGAGTATTTTAAGTTGTACTAGCAATTTACAATTTTAAAAAACTCATGAAAAGCCCTACGTAATAATCTTACCTTTAACTTTAATAAGAGGTCAATTCACTCTAATTTTTAAGCTAACAGAGCTAAGCGTGATCTGTTGAAAGTACAATTTGATATGTTACGCTCTTGTAAGACGGAGACAACCCATGCGGGTATAACGTGCTCTTAATAACCGATATCAGGGTTCCTGTCTAGTCTAAATATTTAGGTAATATTTAAAAGACCGAGCTCCAAATCATCAGTTTACAAGATAAACAATGTTTCATTAAAGGACCACGAAAGGAAAAAAAAACTAATTCTTAAAAAAAATTCTTAATTAAAGAAAAACAGAAGTCCAAACTAAACTTGTCTACGACTTTTTGTTAGCGAGTTATAGTCTTTTAAAGTTAGCGCGTGACGTCATAGAATCTAATCTCGCTGCGGCTACAGTATGGCTACGTAGGTTACGTCGCGCGTCGTACATATTATTATTTTGCATAATATTATTACATATTATTATTTTGGGTTTGATATTTTTGTGTTCAAAAATAATTACGTGCTACATAATATTTATTTTATTTTTAGTTCTTACTGATAAAACGGGGTTTTGTCGTTTTCTTCTAGGACTGGATTAGTATTTATTATTTTAGTATTGTTCTTTGTTTCTTTGAGTGTACTTAAAAATAAATTACGATTGTGGTTAACTCACCAAATCAATTTGAACCAACGAAATTAGATTTCTGCGATGACTATGATTCTTTTAATACTAACCATAATGAATTTAGCCAATGCTTTGGTAGATCATTGCTTCAAATAAATAATTGGTGTGATTGTCAAAAATGCACAATATTACCGACGAACCACGAGTGCATATAGACTGTTGAACAGTATCATATTTTGTGACTATGCCACTATAATTATTGTTATAGTTAATTATGTAATATTATAATATATATTATTATAACATAACGTTAAATAGAAAATTATTAACGTTAAAAATATCTCTAAGACCAAACCCGGTATATTGAATATTACATTCGTGATAATGGGTAAATAAAGTTGAAGACGTAATATTTACATGTATAAACGCCAGGAGAATAGATTCTATGACGTCACACGTCAACTTCAAATACCTGTACATCGCCAACGAAGAGTCGTAAACATTTTTAGTTTGGACCATTATTTTTTTAACACGGAGTACTATGTTTTTTTGAGTATAAAATAAATTAAAATTTTTTCCTTTCATGGTCAAAGAACATCACCACAGAGAAACAAGAAATGGAGGGTACCTAAGATTAACCAATTTCGATCTAAGACCACGTACATTTTGACAAAAAAATTTTAAATTATAAATCTATTTAATGTTGTTATTTAGAATAGATGTTGAAGTGTTATCGTATTTTTTTTTTAAAGAGATACATTTTTTAATACGACCATTACAAGAGATACTATTAGAACAATAAATAACAATTATAAACAAATTATGTGTATACACATGAACACATTGGTGACAGGTACCTAATCATCAAACTTTAGATTTGAATTTGCGAGGCAACAAATTAGTTTTTTGGTTTAGGATTGATGACACAAAGATCGCATAAACGACATAGTGACTAATGAGATGTGATTTATCCGCCTATTTCCTACGTTCTTATTCGGTATGAGATGAATGGTGTAGTTCTTGTAGAGTTTAGTTTAAAAATTGTCTAATCTACTTTTGAGGGCTAAGATAGCTCAGTGCGAAATGAAAAGTTTTCATTCTGAAGTTCAGATACTTCGTATGTTAGTGCAGTAAGGAATCCATGAAATTCTTCAAAGTAGTACCTACTGTTTGGGAGGTTTGAACATTTCTAGGATGGCTTGCATTAAGTCACTGTATAGTGGATACCGTTGTGAATGAGATTATGTATGACTGCGATTAGAGGGCCTTGCAGTAGGACTGTCTGGCTTGACTTTTGGTAGAACTTTACGAGCATTATATGTCTAGGATAGTAAATCATATAAGACGTAGGTAAGAACAGCAGTGTTGTGTTGTCTTTAGCCGTCGATAATAGGCATTTATAAAATTAAGGAGTGGGTGTAGGCAACACATACCACAACTACTTTAGTTGAAGTTAGTAACGAGAGAAACCTGACCCGTAAATGTAATGTAATAAGACACATCAAGTTGGTCCTCACTCGTCAGAATGAAGCGAAGTCAAAACGTGGCAAAATTGAACCGGTTTCAGCTGATGGTGAGCGTTGAGACAATAAATGCAGTTGAAGATAAGACGGATAAATTACATAAGAAATAGCAATTACATGAGAAAATAAAGCTTATAATTAATATTAAATCAATAAAACAAAAACGATAGTACTCATTTCTATTAAAATAAAATACGACGATTTTGCCAACAATTATGGAATTATTATGAGTTCAAGTTGAATAAATCATAATATTTTTAGTAGAAAAATAAATTACTTATATTAATATAAATGTTAAATATACGTGTATTGCTAACAAATCCTTGGAACTAGTCAAATAGATACTGAAACATCGTCCCCGTTCTGAATCGTTTTTGCATGCAATGTGTAACACTGAATTCAAATTTAACAAATCCATTACAGTGACCTATTTTTGACAATTTTCACTCGAAACATAATATAATAATACAACAGAGCGAGTTCCCCAGTTTTATTCTGTACCTACCAACACTTTTAGTACACTAAAATCTATTTAAAATGTACCTTACTAAAAAAGCAAGGTTCAACAAGTCCATGCAATTTTATAACTCAGTTCAATGAAGTTATTTATTTTATTTTTTAATTAAGTTGAAAATTAAATGAATGGTAATTTTTAACGCATTAGTTAATCTAATAAATTAAATTGATTTAACTGTAAACTTATTAGTTTTTTAAAGCTCAGCCTTGCTAAAATTATATGAATGCATTTATAGTTTATACAATTATTGTTTAAACCTTTGAGGTACAATTGATCTTAAAATTGTAAAATGTTACAAAACGTTATTAAAATATTACTTACGTACCACAAGTTGTAACTTTCAAAATTACTGCGCTTGATTGAATTAAGACATATACTTGGTCATAGGTATTCTTGTTTTTAAGAAAATATTATGTACAAATCGTAAAATTAAATTAATACCTATTACTCACAATTATTAATTGCTTATTTAACAATAATAAATTGATAATAGATGCTAGAAAGATTTAGATTTTTAGTCTATACGGTTCTTAACATTAATTTTCATACTGTAATTTTATCATTAAGGTGATTCTTATAATGGTCAAAGATATTATAAATATTTAAATAAGGTCCGTAACAACCTCCATCTAGTGGTTAATTTATGAATAATGAGTTATAAAATTAAATAAAAAGTGTAACCTCTGGGTTAATACTTTTTTTCATGAAACTCATGTCATGTTTATTTTAGCAAATATTCTTCTTGTAAATAAAGTTTCATAAGTTATAACTTATAACAGTTGGAAATTAAGTAGGTACACTGTAAGTGTACTCTGGGAGGCTAGACCTCTAATATTTAATATCTCTAACAGATATTCTCTGTTTGTCTGATATTTATATTGTTTGCTTAAGTAATGAATTAAAAATAAATAGAAATTAAATTAAAGCTTTAAGTGAATTAAAATATTAAAAATATAATATTTGTATAATATTGTAAAGATATTACGTACCTAGGTTTATATACCTACTATAAATGTAGTTTAAACTTTTGAAGTGGTCAGTGTGCGTCACATTAATTATATTAAAACGAAATATTTGAGCCAGATGACTTCAGATTGAAATGGGAAGTTTTGAGGAATACAGTGTACACTAAAGTCTTAAGTACAAATTCTAAATTAATTTTAAAAATGTTTAACTCATAGGTACTGTGTAGGCAATAGACAATATTTCTCAATCAAATAACCCTATTTTTTGTAATACACTTTTTTCTATAGTAATAAATAATAATTGATTATTTCAAAGCAGTTTAATGTAAGACTTTTACTACATTTTTCAAACACCTTTATTTTATAATATTTTAATATTAAAGGTTAATATTTTATTAACAATTTAATACGTTGTCGTCCGACAAAAATATTTCGTATTACCACATAAGTGTAACACACTGGATATTATTTAAGACAGTGTCTATAATAATATTTTTATCATAATCTTGTACTTCTTGGAAGTTAAATATTAATTGATACATAATTCATCATACTATATCTATTATACGCATATTGTATACATCTACCGGCTACCAAGATAACAAATTACTGATAGAATCGTCCTACAAATTACAGTAATAATTATAATAATAATCTAAATGTCAAACAATTAAATTGATTTATATAATTACAACCTCCCTAATCAATAATCAATAATCACCATATTATTAGAGTAGCTTAAACCTATCGAGTAGTTAATCTATGCGATTATCGCTATTTATTTTTGAAACTCGAAACTCTATAAAGGCAGTCGCCTAATATTGTTGCCAGGACCACGAAATCTAAACTTTCAATTAGAAAAAGAACAACTACAAAATAACAAAAAGTATTTACATGATAACATGAGATAAGACTTTTATGGATTATGATCTATGATTTAATCTTTTTCCTATGAATATGTTTAACGAACAAATGTAAATTAGGCTCAACAAAAAAAAAAAAAAATTGTAATTTGCACCTTATACATTTCAAGTATAAATTTATAAGCATTAAATTGCACCTAGCTTGGACTATAAATTAGTTATAGGTGAGTAATGTTATTTGTGTGATGGTCATTTATCATCACCTAGAAGACATTAAGAGAAGGCGAATCTCTGGTCTCTAAAAATAATTTTTTTGGTTTTAAATAATAAAAAAAATTAAGTGTCTTAAACATATAGATTTTATCATATCGATGAATTCAGAATCATTTAGACACTACTTTTCTGTATACATATACCCATTTTATAAACCGAAAAATTCCAAGTGCAATTTACCATATTACCAATTCGAGTGTCACCATTATTTTTAATACCTAGGTGCAATTTACAATCACCCTGATTGATAAGACTTTACGTGACGTGTCATGTAGGTCAATTACCGGAAAGTGTTTTATATTTGCAGGGGATTTCATTGGCTAAGTCACTGTAATGTATGAGTTAAATTTGAATTCATTAATAAATCATCACATACAAAATACGATTCTGAACGAAGACGGACTGTCAGAGTGTCAGCTTATATTACCAAGTATATTAATTTATATTTCTATTAAAGTAATTTATTTCACTATATAATATAATTTACTAAGGTAGATTAAATTATTTTTTGCCAAACAACATTGCAATTGAAAATATCATTGTATGTAGAAAATCTAATAATAAACTTTAAAAGTTTAAATATCCACGAAAATTTTTTTTAAATGAACAACAGAATAACTTAAATAGTTTTTCTTCGTTTAAATGTTTAGTTTTGTTCAAATTTAATAAAAAAAATTGTTTTTATATATTTTTAAAAATTTCGGTTCTAGCATGAAATATTTAAGAGAAACATATTTATGACCCAGCAAAAAATGAATAAAATAAAACAAAAAAATTTTTAAATTTAAACTGTCTAAAAAAATCAACAAAAAACACAATATATCGTTGTAAGATCAATACATTCATACTCCGCTTGGAATCAAAATGTATGCCGTTATTCGAAAAAGTATAAAATTGAACATTTTTTTAAAATGTTATTTTGTTATATTACTTAAAGTTATGGGAAACAATATTTCCAAAAACTGTAACACTCTCCGGAATGATGTGAATGTCTTACTGTTAAAAGATTCACCCTGTGTATAATATTATGAATATCATACTGATATATATATTTTTACGTTATAAGCGGATAACGCGCAACATTATACTACGATATTCTGATGTTCTATAATATGGGTTAGGCTTAGGCAGATTTCCTTCGATGGATGGGTTGAAGATTGCGCACGCACGTCTTCAGGAGCGGGAAATCGGAGTGATTAGGGTGGACACCACGAGCATGTATATTATAGTTATAAGACGTTCGCAGGCTCTGTACAGTGATCAGTATAATATATATTTAGGTTTGTCGTACGATAGGACGGAATTATTATTATTATTATTATTATTATTGCAGTTTAATCTCAGACCCGAGTACCCGTCGACGAGAATGACACAATGACGAAAGAGCGTGGGGTCGATGTGGGGCGCTATTAACATCACCAGCCCTCTACGTCTCCTAAATTATACTTTTGACCTTTCCCACAATCGCCACGGCACAAATAAAGTTGTTCACCGGTGCGACCTGATGTTGTATCTAGGTACCTTCGTAACGCATCTCATCTGTGGGAAAACGCTGTCTGTGGTTACAATAATATAATATTATAAAAGTCCTCTGCACCTGCTGCTGTTTATGTTCGGATTTTTTATTCACCGTTATTGTACAAAATGTGTCATAATGTACAAGTCCAGTGACGGCTATAACTTTTATTCGCCTTATCGAGACCCCTCATTTGTTTTTGACATCACCCACAGCAATTCAGTTTTTAATTAAATTTTTTTTTTTTTGGGGGGGGGGGCTAACACAGTTTCAAGTCCCTTGATCCAAAATACAATGATGTAACATGATTATGTTGTTACACGTTACATCTTTAAATTATAATGACCACATAATTATTTATTTTGCGAGCTTGGTTGTTGGGCTTTATTTTGACAGAATAATAATTGACGGTAACACGCTGGGACTGGGTTGCGGGCTGTTCAGAACGTCTCACAAAACTTAAAAAAATTGTTCATAATTTGCACCTCCGTCTCCGATAATTTATAGTTCTTCCTAAATAATTAGTCAGAGTACTTTGGGATAAATAATGATTAATAATATAGTCGACACACAATAAGACGTAGATAAAAGCTGTCACTCACCATTAAAAATGGCGTAGCAGTAGTGAATCTGATGCCACGTTACGAAACATGGTAATTTTAAAACGAACGATGGGGTGTTAAAACAATGTTAAACGAAGACTCAATGTAACAATAGAAATAATTATGAGTATATTGTAGAATACAATCAATGGAACTCGAAAAGCTGCTTAATAAATGTGTCGAATGTATCCATCTCGTTCTCGAGTAGGTCACTGCAGTAATAATGAGTGTGTTAAATTTGAAAACGAAAAATGATTTTGTGCAAATGAGACGGTTGGATCCGCATCTAATTCTAAGGATAGTTGATTTTATCTTTTATTGATATTATTATTCAAGGTATTTTCTAAATACTGCAAGTTGAATTAATTTATACTAATAACATAAATACCTATCATATAATAATATATATCAAGTATATTATTAGTTATTAGAAGTCAATACTGACATACTTTAAATTGTGTGAATGTATTTGTATCATAAATACCTTAGAATATTAGCCAACATTTTCTAAAAATTACATTATGTATAGAACATAACAATAAACCAATAAACGTGATGATAAAAAGTTTCAAGTTTCCAAGGTTAATATTTTACCCTTAATATTAAATGTTCAAGCCTTTGTGTCAATAATTAAACTTCCAACTTTTGACCCCAAATAACAAACTAGTTCTAAAATTATCAAAGAAAATACCCTTAATAATAATGATTGGACCAAAACGTGATTACTGACTTACAAAAAAACCCACACACACCACTGTAAAACTAACTCATTCCACGCTCCGTTAAGCACCTAAAATATAACTCTAATTTTCACTCATGCTTTATGTTCTTACAATTAAGAGTTTACAGCCAATCCGATTTTCTTCGAATGAATTCTATATTTCGTTTTTAAAATGTATTTTTCCAAGTTGTTCAGGTTCTCGACACCCACGACTTATACTTCGATTGCGGATTTACGAAATACAAACTGCATGGTGCTTTGGGAAGTCGGCCCTACTATGATATTTTTTATACTCGTACCTTGACGAGTAGAGATTTAGTTTTAATTTTAATGACTCATAACTAACCTCATTGACATTTATATGATTTATTCTTATGCATTAAGTAGTATTCAAAAAAAAGTTTGCTGAGTGACGAATTAGTCACATATTTGATGCTCTGTTTAAAATTTAACGTATGCTATTAAAATTTAAAATAATGTAGGTACTCTAATTTACTACGCTATAGTTATGTCGTATATTATTTGACTAGTGATTACAGTATACTATAGGTAATT